ATTTTACGACTGAGTTAATCTTGTTGTGGTCAACAAAAACATGTCAGGGTTACTGTAGTCCACACCAGCTTGTTTAAGGTATCAAACTTCCACAAAGTTATGTGCTTATGCGGCTTCCATACAGACTACACTAGTTATTACAAACTTACAGACCTGCTATGGATGCAGCTAAGTAGAGCGGATCTTTAACTCGTCTTAAACCAGCAACCAACATAAACACAATCTGAAAAAATGAATAAATGAATATTAAATAACTGGGACGAACCTCTTAAGTGGTTGCAATTGTGGAGCTTTTGAAATGTGATCCTTGAATCACTCAAAAATAGTTTAAGGAGAACCTACCAAGTCAAAATATTCAGGATCTTGACACATATACATGCCATTTATCACTGGACAATGACTGAGTGGCTCTGCAAAGACAAAAATATATTATTTATAATATAGAGTTTCAAAGATGACTTAGAGTGATTTTACTTGACCTGTGAAACAGATACTAACAACTACTTCAAAATAGCTACTAGACCGTAAACAGAAGAAGACAATGGAATTAGTGAATATTACCGCGAAGTATTCTACTTCCTATTACACGGATTAAGTAAAATCATGGTCCATTTGTGTATGTCACTATCACAATATGACTACTGAGAATGAACAGGTAGATCAATACAATCTGTCGAAACAGCTTCAATCAACAATCATACTACAATGGACTCTCTCTAAGAAAGAAACAATATAAGGACTGGCATCAACCCTCCATCTTTATCAATACAGGAGTGTCCACCTTAGAAAAGAGCAAAATGACTGAAAAATGGCATTTTGTTGATGTACTAGCTGGAGGAAGCAAAAGCAGATTGTAAGTTGTATTTTTCCAGTGGCTAGGAGTGTGTGCACTTGTACACTAAAAGGTCTGGTACAGCAAGAAGATCTTGTGTTTTCTTTTTTTGCCTCAAAAGCCCCATAAGTGTGTGGGGCTCACATTCACATCATCTCGCGCGCCTATAATAGCCATGCCAAAATAGTTTATCAATAAATTGATACCAATAACCATTGTGATAAAGGGAGGTGGGTGGGGCAAGGATTGTATCATACTATTAATGGACAGGACTTTATTTCTGGGGACAAAAGATTTACATGATTTTCTTACTGATGAGGTGCTTCAAGTGATCATGTAACTGGAAATTTGATGGTCCAACACAAACCGCTGAAAGTAATAATAAAATGCATCAACCTGTAGATTCTACAATAAAGAATTAATTTTGTCAATCATTTTTTTACCAAAAAATTATATCTAGTCAATAGTTTATAATAAATGACTGAGTTTCAGCAGTTCTTAATGTAATGTTCACAACTGCATTATTGGAAGGTCATGATCAAGATACTGTAACCACAAAATCTGCCTATAGTGTCCCACATAAATTTATGATTACTTATATTAAATAAGTGGTCAGTTAAAATATGATTGATGTTTTACCTTGAGGCTGCAAAATAAATTTCTCTTCACTTCTTGGCTATAAAACAAGATCAAAATCAGCTTTTTTCAGTACAGACAGTCAAACTCCCTGATAAACAAACACCTCATTGACCAAACTCGACCCCCTAGCTAATGCACATTGCTATTATAATCCAAAAGGCAGTTCCCCACAAGCCATACTACCAACACTACAGTATTGTTCACAGCTCTATTACCACTGACAATAAAAATTAACTGGAGAAAGCCAAATTATGAGGGTGACTTTATAGTGATGTTATCACCACAAACACCTTAAGTATAAATTTAAAATATCCTCATCGTAAAGTATATTTTACCAACAATCTTCTCAAAATAAATCAGTAGTAATCACAAATTATTAATAAGATGGGCCTCCAATTATGTGTGAAATCACATAGTTTTGAGGCAATGGAGAATGGTGTGAACTCACGTGGTTAAAATGTGAAAATCAATTACTAACTTTCTTATGCAGAAATGAGTTAAATGCTGATACAGAGAAAATGGTCATGCTAGTGTTCACAGGACACCTAACGGGAAACAAAAGTAGGAAGTAGTTTGTCGACCACAAAAACTCTTACCCATAAAGTTGTTGCCTGCTTTTTCATTGGCCTGCTGAATGCAACAAGATAACTGAAATAAGGAAAAACAACAGAGTCACATTAGGTAGTTGCAACCCTCACACAGGTAACCCAATATTAGGGTAAGGGTAGCCTAAGAGAGATGTCCTTCTGGATCTTTATACATGTCTGGGAAAGTGCCCACCTACCCCTCCCCTACTTAAACATTTTGCCCTAAATGAGAAGTAAGTGTTAATGTTGGCTTGGGGGAGGGGTAGGTGGGCACTTTCCCAGAAACGTATAATAATCTGTCCTTCTTATATAGAGAGTCAGCTAAAAGGAGTAAAAAAAGGCAGGGACCAACTCTTGGTGTTCATCTATAAAGATATCAGTTAACCCTTTAAACCAAGATCAAAATTTGAATTCTCATTTATTGCCCCTACTCACTTCCTACAAAAGTAGTGGGGAGAAGTTGATAAAATATCAAGCAAATTCATTTGTGTGATCATGTCTGTAATTCTCATGACCACTTGGTTTTACAATGCACTGATATTACAAGGAGAAATTTGATGCTGATCAGTCTTGGAGCTTAAAGGGTTAAGAGGGAGTTAACTAGCTGTGAATGTAAATATGTACCTTGCTTTTACCACCACTTTGCTCATAGCTTCAAACTTTTCTTTGTCCTTTTTATGCTCATTGAGATCAGTTCCTCCAAAAATAATAGCAAAAGGAACTGGACAATCTAGGTGAAAACAATGGATAAGTGGAAAAAAATAAAGATCATCACTGACCTATTATGGCTTATCAAGATTTAGACACTTAGACACCGAAAATTTCCATGTGAACAGAGCAAAAATATTGAACAAAGTGTCCAATCAATTACTTTTCAGCCAGTCAAAAATTCATCCAGTGTTATGTGAATGTTTTTTAAGCCAGAGTCCCATAATTGTTACTTGATATGAGAGGCACTTTTTCACTTCAGTAACTATATAGATTCAGTTCTGAACCCTTTTACAGTTTGAAACAGATATAAAACCTAACTCATTACAAAGTTGCTGTAAATTCTCCACTTTAGAATTTCTAAGAAGAATGAGTACAGGCTTTTGGGTCATGTTGGATGCAGTGAGTTCTGAGATTGTTGAATGGACAAATGCTAGGGCACTTTCCCTTTGTCAGAACTAGCCGGCCTGACCATGGCTGGACCAGTCAATTTGAAAATGAAATAGGCTTTTTCCAAGAGTGTTAATTGCTAAAAACTCATCTCCTTCATGGATACCATTTAGGATTTGACTGATCTGGCTGGATAGTTTTGATTAAAAGGGAAATTATCATTGCGATAGGAATGGTCTGGCCGGTCAGTTCTGACAAATGGAAAATGCCCCAAGTTATGATTGGTCGATGGTATTCAAGGCAAGACTCAACCAATCAAGACAAGTATCAACCAATCATAACCAATTCTGGTCTACCCAAACAAACCAAAAGCTTGTACCAATTCCCTTTATAGTTAGGAAGATGTAAATCAACTTAAACTTTCTTAAACCTAGCAAAAGTCTTCCAGCTCTCCATGCATGTATGCCAATGACACATCGAAAATCATGTGCATGAACAAACTTCGTCACTGACACACAATCACTGAAGGAGCTAATACATTGTAACCAGCATTCAATGTTGCAATCACCAAGGCATTTCCTAAAAAAATAACACATTCTTAAGATCAGTTCACAGTCCCTTATTTGGCCATATGTGCCGCTGAACAGAGTGTAAAGGTTAGTGACATGCAGTCTGTGTGTGTGGTACTCGGGTGGGGGCGGGGGAGGGGTGTAGGGGATACTGCCATATAATAATGGGCCATATAGGTATGTGCTGCTGTGAAGGGTAAGGCTATTTTTGTAGGAAAGGAAACCTAATAGTTTTGGATTTAAAGATGTGATGGAGAGAGGAATGAAATAAATTTTCACTGGAAAATAATACTGAAGCCCTTGTAATTTCAAAAAGCCTCAAGTTCCCCTAGGATGACCAAACAGACACAAATTTTAAAGTCCATTTTAGAATGCATTTCTAGAGGTCTAATAGTACTCTGGATAGCTCCATGTTAGGCTACTTTTGTAGGAAAAAGGAAACCTAAACGTTTTGGATTTAAAGATGTGATGGAGAGAAGAACCCAAATAATTTCACAGCAAAATAATACTGAAGCCCTAAATAATTTCGAAAAGCCTCAAGTTCCCCCAGAATGACCGAGCAAGTAAAAATTTTAAAGTCCATCTCAGAATGCATTTCTAGAAGTCTAATAGTAGTCTGGATAGAATAAAAAGTGTTTTCAATGCATTTGGGAGGAAAACGTCATTGGGTGCCCCTGATTCAAGGCTTAGCGATTATAACTTATCGTTTTTCCTTACTTTGATGGGTTATAAATAATGCATGATTTACCAATCAGGAAGTTTAGTATCAAATGAACTGCTTACCTATTTATCGGTTAACTTGTAAGCCAATCAAATATGGAAAAGTCGATCAATCGTTTGGATCGATTAGTATCACTCTTATAATTCTTGTAAATCTAATATGATTCTTAATTTAGCAGAGCTTATTGATTTACAGGTTCGAGAGTAAAAATCTGTGGTAAAATCCCCACTGATCCTACTAATCTGGAGTATTTACGTTAAGCCAATATAAAATATTTTTTTAACACACAAAAATCACAATAATGTGAGCACACTTACTGTATTCGTTCGGCGGTGGAGAAATTCCCTGTCTCTGACGTTAGCGATGCGAGAAGTAAGACCTTCATAAATCTATCAAGTTCTCCTCACGTTTTACTTTATGACAATGAAGGAAAATCGCCGACAAGGAAGTGTAAATAAAGGCCATAATAAATATTTACGTAATGTGACCTGCTCAACGTGTAAGCCCCCTGAGTAACCGCGCGACGTTGCCTGTAGGCTCATTTCAGAGCTATGCATTTCAACATGGCGGACGAGAGAGGAACACTGGTGGTTGAGCTTCAAACGACTCAAACGCAAAAATCATCTTTGTTTAAGCACACTGGCGGCTGTCATTGCGGAAGGGTCCGATTTGAAGTGATCGCTCCTGCTATGTTACTTGTTTTGGATTGCAAGTGAGTTCCTTATGCATGGTTCAATTCTACCTATTACCAATCTCCCAACCTTGCGCACGCAGATAGAGGCAGTTACCTTACGGGCCTCTAGTCGACCGCATATTTTTTTGGGTACAACATTAAGATAAAAATACTGATTTTAATTTACGTGTTTTATGCTCTTTTCAGCGGTCATCCTGGGTGGGGAGGGGGGGGAGGTCAACCCTGGGGAACGACCCTGGGGAACCCCACGGCAAATTTTGCACTATGGCTTTCACAAATCCCTTGACACCTAAGAACAAGATTTCTCGGCAAAAGAAAGTACCCTCTCCCCTGGGGCAATAATTGGTTCAAATGAGTTAAAAGGCACTGCAGATATAACAATACTTCATACAACAACCTAGAAGAAAAAGTATAGGGCTTGACTGAACCCTGAAAAGAAAAGAAACTAAAGTCCCAAAGATTTCCAGACTACAAGACGTGAAGACATGTCGTCCTTTACATAATCCTTAGCTGCAACACTTTTCCATCTGCCATGCCTCTGAAAAATTATATCACTAACCCCGCTGTTGGCAGCCCTCGACGCTCCTCTAGACCGGAAAGAGTGAATCCTGTAAACGGAGGGATCCGGAAGTATGCTCTGCAGACTTTTAGTCAACTGACCCCTGAAGGTTGCATATGAGATATGCTTATCAACTTGAACCAATTTGCAGGGCAACTTGGTTTTAATGAGTGGTGGGAAAATAAATTCACTAGAGTTAGGGCTGATATCTAATTTCTTCAAACTGTCTTTAAGTAAGAAAACCGGGCAAACATTCCCCTCAGATTTAACAATAACCACTTTGTCACCTTGTCTAAGCTGATCAGTCTTGCTTTTGTCTACTCTGATAGTCATGAACCCTTCATAAAAACGAATATGACTCATTCTAATATTAAGAACCTCCTCAGATCTGAAAAAACCCGCATAGGATAACAAGTACAAACAAACGTTTCTAAGCTGCAGGACATTGGACAAATCAGCTCCTTCCTCTTCTTGCCTCTTTAGAAACTCCCACTTTTTTTCTCCCCCCTCCTCACACACCTCTCCCACCTCGTACTGTCTCAGGCTCCCACCCCACTGTCCCTTCCTCCACTAAGCTGAAAGGACCTTTTCAACAGATGGCTCTTTTTTCAATTATTTTTGGCTCTTTAACAGCTGCAGTATTTGTACAAAGAAGCAGAACAAACATTTTATTGTCCCAGAGGAACAATTTACATTGCTACAGGTATAACTATAGCATACATCAGTATACGTCAGTTAATACCTCAGTCACAATAATCACCCCTTCCCCCTCCCCCACACCTATGGTTTAAAGAAAAGTATAGTATTAAGTTGAAATTGAATTTCGGGAGGAAGGGGAGGGTAAAGCAATTTGTGACTTGTGGCATGAATAACTTTGGGGAGACTAAGTGAGTAGGCATGGTTTAAAAACACAACGTTAGGCACTGTCATTCTCTATACATTCCTATACCATCACTAACAACAACTGGTAAATTTGATTCTGAGTCAAGTATCCTTCTTTCTTTAACTTAAGTCTGGCCCAATTTTAGATGCTTTTAGAATAGTTTATATAGGTACACTGGCATTGATATAATGCAACGTGTGGAAGAAGGACCCTAGCTTCACAGTGTTGATGAAAAACAAAATACTATGTGCACAGAGTCACCTGACTCAACATTAAAATTATTGCCAGTTTGTGAAATTCATTTACAAGCTGTTCCACGACTAATTCCAGAGTATATGTCTTAGAGTTGGTGTTGTCTTCTTTTCCTTCAGGGCCAAGATGATTTAACTTGCTACACTTTCAATACACATCAGGCAAAGCACCTTTTCTGCAATACATGTGGAGTGCAAAGCTTCTACAGACCTCGTTCTAATCCAGATGGCTATGGGGTCATGCCACACTGTTTGGATGTAGGAACGGTGAAAGATATAAAAGTCGAGTTCTGTGATGGCCAAAACTGGGAAAAATTCATTGCCAACAATCCTGAAATCCAAGAACAGTCAAAGAAAAAGGACTAAAAGGCAGCAAAAATTAGGAACAAGGAGACTATCTAAATGTTATTTATCTCATTGGAATTTTGTAGTAAAAATTTACCTATAATAGTATTGCAATAGATCTACAAATTATTGTTTATAGAGGAACTGGTTCCTCTCCTGCTTATTAAGTCTTGTCTTTATGTTGGGTGGAGATTTACCCTTTTTAAGATATGCACATGTTAAGGATAATACNATTCCAGAGTATATGTTTTAGAGTTGGTGTTGTCTTCTATTCCTTCAGGGCCAAGATGATTTAACTTGCTACACTTTCAATACACATCAGGCAAAGCACCTTTTCTGCAATACATGTGGAGTGCAAAGCTTCTACAGACCTCGTTCTAATCCAGATGGCTATGGGGTCATGCCACACTGTTTGGATGTAGGAACGGTGAAAGATATAAAAGTCGAGTTCTGTGATGGCCAAAACTGGGAAAAATTCATTGCCAACAATCCTGAAATCCAAGAACGGTCAAAGAAAAAGGACTAAAAGGCAGCAAAAATTAGGAACAAGGAGACTATCTAAATGTTATTTATCTCATTGGAATTTTGTAGTAAAAATTTACCTATAATAGTATTGCAATAGATCTACAAATTATTGTTTATAGAGGAACTGGTTCCTCTCCTGCTTATTAAGTCTTGTCTTTATGTTGGGTGGAGATTTACCCTTTTTAAGATATGCACATGTTAAGGATAATACATTCAAATCTCCAGTAATTGCAACCTCTCTACAACAACCACCTCCCTGCAGCATTTCCAGGTTCATTTATACTGCTGCAGTAAGCAGCATAAATTGTCTACGATTCTTATGGTGAATGTTGCGAACCTTGTTCTTTTTGTCATGTAAACATTTTTATTCAAAACATTATTCAAGTTTTTTTGTGTATTTTATCTCTACAGGGTGTCCCAAAAGTTCATTCCTCTAATTTCATGCACCATAACTTTTGATCAAAACTTTATTTTTACATGAAATTGCTAGAAGATGTTTATTTTTCTATTGAGTACATGTATTCCGAATTTCAGTGACTGGCATGCCCTTTTTGTTTTTTTTTTATCACATTCTGTAGACGTTGCGGCATGAAATGGGGATACAGCTTGTTAAGACCCACAGATTGTGCCTTTTACATGTAAAAAAAAAACAAACAAATATAATTAAATCAATCAAAAATTAAAGTCAAACCTTGCTCTATGGACACCTGCATGATATGAACACCCATATAATTATTACAGTAAAATGCCGCGAAGAAGAACCTAGGATTTAAGTACCTGCTGGCAGAAATTTGTCATTTTAATACTCCAAAATATAAGAACCAGTTTAGCCAAGAAAAATCAAAAGGTTCTTATATGTGGGGATAGACTACATTTTCATAAATATTTTGATATATATATATATATAATAAAATGTATAATGTGTACAACCATTGTTGAAAACTGCATATCTTCTAGCTGTTAACCTAGTTTTGTTAGATTTTTGGTAAATAAATGCCTATTATGAAGGACAAAAATACCATTTATAGCAATTTCTTGTAATCAACAACAGTATCTTTCTTAATAAAAATTAAGAACCTAATTAAGAACCTATTTAGCCTAAACTTCCAATAAGTACTCCAAACTATAAGAATCTATTAATTTTGCCAAACTTCAAAAAATCTAGGTTCTTCTTCATGGCGTTTTATTGTATATGGGTGTTCATATTTTTATAACCCGTTTAATATGGACACTGGTTAATACAGGCAAGGGACAGTTTTCTTTGTCCTGTCACATCTCTCATATATTGTCAACCCCATTTTAGCAACACAAGATGTCACCGCACTGATTATTTTCTTTGATACACTCACCAATAAATTATGGGTTGATTTCAGACATTGTACTCTCAACTCTTAAAGTAATAAAAATATTGTTTTACTGAAAAATATATCACTCGTAAAATTCATAAAAACTACATCCGGGACCCAAGTGGTTTATTTTCCACAATCTCACACGTGAGTTTATCAATGATGTAATTTCGGTAATTTCCCTCTATTATTTATCGATGTCTTTTTGTCTATATACTAAAAAGAATATTACACGGCGGCTTGAAGATATGAATTTTATTTTGCCACTTGAAAATAAAATTCATATCTTCGCGCTACTGTGCAATATCCTCTATATATTTCTATGGGTTAATATGTTTTTATTACTACACTACAGTAGCAAAATAGTGTTACATAAAAGAAAAACCCACATGCAAGAACCTACATTTTTTAAAGTCTGGTAAAAAAGTTTCTTGTATTTTGGGGTTGTTATCAGCAATGTAGGCTACATAGGTTCTTAATTATTAAGTTTTTGATCTCTGTGAAGGAAATGTAGTTGTTGACCACCAGAAAAATAGATAAACTTGGGTCGGGTCCTTAAATAAACATTATTTATTCACAACTATATTATGAACAGAACCTCTGTAGTGTAGGCTCCCTTTTGCAGACTCAGTTCTGGGTTTGGGGACATAATAATTTAACTCAGAATTTCTAAGATGTGTGAGTGTACATTTGAGGTGTTGGTAAAGATCCGCATCAGATACGACAGGGAAAGATTATTATGGATTTTATACATTGTCACAGCCAACTGTTTAAGTCTTACATATTCTAACCTTTCCCAGCGAAGCTCATCCAACGAAACACTTGAGCGAACCTCATAGTTAGAAAGGGTGAGAATTCTAGGAGCCTTATTCTGCATCTATTGAAGTTTGCCTGCTAGTCCCTTATTGATATTACCCCTTACAGCACTACAGTAATTAAAATATGGCATTACCAGTGCATTGTACATATTCACTCTAGTATAAAATGGTATAAAATGACTTGCACGCTTTAAGATAGCAATACCAGCAGATATTNATTAAGTTTTTGATCTCTGTGAAGGAAATGTAGTTGTTGACCACCAGAAAAATAGATAAACTTGGGTCGGGTCCTTAAATAAACATTATTTATTCACAACTATATTATGAACAGAACCTCTGTAGTGTAGGCTCCCTTTTGCAGACTCAGTTCTGGGTTTGGGGACATAATAATTTAACTCAGAATTTCTAAGATGTGTGAGTGTACATTTGAGGTGTTGGTAAAGATCCGCATCAGATACGACAGGGAAAGATTATTATGGATTTTATACATTGTCACAGCCAACTGTTTAAGTCTTACATATTCTAACCTTTCCCAGCGAAGCTCATCCAACGAAACACTTGAGCGAACCTCATAGTTAGAAAGGGTGAGAATTCTAGGAGCCTTATTCTGCATCTATTGAAGTTTGCCTGCTAGTCCCTTATTGATATTACCCCTTACAGCACTACAGTAATTAAAATATGGCATTACCAGTGCATTGTACATATTCACTCTAGTATAAAATGGTATAAAATGACTTGCACGCTTTAAGATAGCAATACCAGCAGATATTTTCTTTGAAATAGTATTTAATGTGTGGGTGCCAGTTCAAAGATTCATCAATTTGAACTCCAAGGGATTTATGTTTTATTACTCTTTCTAAGGTTGTATTATTGACTTTGACTGTGAAGTCATTATTTATTTGGGATAACTTAAATTGGCTCCCTATTAAAGCATGTACTTAGTCTTCTTAACATTCAAAGTTAATTTGTTTGCTGACAACCATGACTGAATTAAATTCATATCATAATTCATTTTATGTTTAAGGACACGCTTGAGGACTAGACATTGATTGCACGCATCAAGTACAATTTTTCACGCCTGAGTCACAAATCCAGACAATTTGTTCTTTCACACATGATTGATAACAAAATTAAATTTAATATTCCCGAAAATATTCCAAAAAGCTGTTCAATTTTATCACAACACAATACTCAATTAGGTTGTCGTAGCATCTTCGGACATTTTCGGCAACGTTTGGAAATCTGCGGAAAATCGTTGGAAATGTTCAGAAATTCTGGTAATGACAAAACAAAAACCTCACGCATATGACTCAGAAAAGGTTGCAGGTATAACCTGGTTCTAATATTTAGGGGTAATAAAATGGCAAATTTCTGCTAGCAGGTTCTTAAACCACTAGGTTCTTACACAAAGTTTTTTTAAACTGTATTTTTGATCAGTCCATCCTTCTTCCCATGTTTTACTCTTGTCTGTAGTCATCATTTTAGTCTGATACTACGATGTAAATGATCGCAAGGTTTCTCTGAGCATGAGCCTTTTTCAGTTACTCTTTTGGATCAATTTAGGTTTCTGGGAAACTGCCCACCTACCCCTCCCCTAAGTCAACATTAGCCTGCAAAGCAGGCGTATTTTGCTGTGCAATCGATTTGGACTTGCGACTGACTGAGAGTTGGGGCAAGTGCTCCATGTACCTTTGGGTCGCGCTTTATAAAAAAACATTACCATTAACACTTAGTCTCCCTAAGGGCAAAATGTTGGGTTAGGGGAGGGGAAGATGGGCAGTTTCCCTAAACCTAAATTGATCCACTCTTATGGAAAAATGTCTGCTTACAAAAAACTGTCCACATGTGTCCATGAAATTTTTCCCGAAAGCCCACTTAATACAGACACTATGGCATGTCCACTTGGTGTCTGTATTAACCTGGTTATATTGTACAACTAAAAGGTCGATGACACTATTGTGGTAACTACTACAAGTTAAACTGCTAAAGTGGGTCATTTTTGCCTCCAGCAATATCAGCACTATTAGCCCATGCAACAGACAGAACTAAGCATCTGAAAGGTCTGTGTGCCAAACAGCACCAAAATCCTCTCTCTGGGCCCCCACCTGTGTACCAGGTTTTGAGCACGTGCCATGACTGGCCTGTTAACAAAAGCATTGTCAGCTTGCCAGTCAGGTTGAAAGGAAATTCAAAACACATTTCTGGTAATTTGTTGAGTCTGTTTAGGGCTTAGAACAAGTAAAGTGGAACCTTGATAAAAAGAAACTCTGTGTAATGAAGTCCTCGGTATAACAAACGATTTTCCTTGCCACAGTAATAGTAAAATATATGAAAAAGAACGTCAAGATAACGAAACCTCATCATAGCGAACACATTTTGCCAGCCCCTTGGCACTTTGTTATAATCAAAGTTCCACTGTATATAGGTGCAACTTTACAGACATTACTAAATGCAAGGGGTTAGATTATGTCTTTGATGGAGTGTCCCTACAGCACTATCAGTCTAAGAGGTGTTTTCTGTGCAGTCAGCTGCTTTAGGATTCTCCTTCAGATACTGCTGCCACTTTTCCCAGTTTTTGGCATCACAAGGGATAATATCCATTTTGGTCACAGTTCCTTCATCTAAACAATATG